TTAAAAAAAAAAAAAAAAAGAAAAAATACGCTCGGCTATTCATTGTACACGCGAAAGTCGAAAAGTGCTTAGCTTTCTAATCTTGGTTTCTCCCTTTTCCCGTATTTCGTATCAAGGGACAAAAATCATTCGAGAGAAAGGACGCGAAATCTGCGTCACTCTTGTCTCGTCTCTTGGCCACCAAGAATCTGGTGTGTGCGTGTTGTGGACCAATTGTGGATTAATTGTGGACCAATTAATTGCAGGGATCTCAGAGAGACACGCCAGTCGATCGTCTTACTAGGGACAATGACGTTATATCGTATTTTATACATATTTATATTTGAAATTATATTTTATATATTTTATAATATAGCGGTTCTCTTTAGATTTTCTTCTTTTTTTTTAATTTACAAAGGTGCCTTTTATAACGCCCTTTCGAGGTTTCGTACTTGATTCAAACTTCACAGGCTTCGTTGGAAATTATTCATTGGAAGCGAGTTTGAGGATCCAATACTGTTCATAGTGATCTTGAGTAAAAGTGGTGAAGTGTTCGGTTGACGCGAGGAGGATTCAAGGGAAGGTTCAAGGAACTATAAAAGGTGTTTTAAGTACAGCCCTAATTTCTAGTTTATTTATTTGAACTTCGTGTGGCTGACTGTCATGAAATTAGGTAATAGACTGGCGTGTTGGCAGTTTTTGTATCCTCGTATCGTTACTAACCGACTGGCTGTGTCTCTTCGAGCAGAAACGAAAGTAGCTGAAAGCAAAGCTGAGCTGAATCCGGTGCCATGGTTTGTCGAAGGAAAGAACGGTGCGGGTGTAAAACCTGTGAAAGAGACGTGTTCCAACCGACAGTGCTAGAGACAGAGAACTGAAAATAAAAAATAGAAAGAGACAGAGAAAAATGAAAAAGGTTGGAGGAAGGAAACTAGGTAAAAAGAAAAAAAGAATAATGACGTGCCAAATCGGAGACAAGAGACCCACCGTTTTGCAGTCGTCTTTTTTACTAGTTTTTCTTTCTTTTTTAATCCGTAGCAACTTTATTGTTTGGTGCATCACGTGCCAGCCACTTTCCATAACGAAGGCATATTTGCTAGTGTGAAGTATACGTGGATTTTTTTTTCTTGTCGCTTAATTGTCTAATATCGTCATTATCTGATAACGTAGGTATTTTACGACTTATGAATTATCACCTAGCCTCCAATTATTATTCATTTATGTTCCGTCGTTCTCCTTGCGATCGAGAACCAACAAAACATGCCATTCCATTAATTTTCCAAAAAATGTTTGTTCCTGTTACATACGTGTATGTGTATGCGTGTATGTGTGTATGTACTATATACTTGTATGTGTGTGTAATAACGCGAAGAGAGTAATGTATCTCTACGTATCGTTCTTTGTTTTCTTTTTCTTTTTATTCTTCTCTTCAATGTGTTTTCAAATCTCCCTCCTTTTTTAATTATCATTTTTCTTCTTTTCTTTTTCGTTTGTTTGCTACTTCGTTTTTTTTTTTTTTTGTCGCCCGCTTTCTTTATCTCGAGGTGTATATCGTTAAATGCCCAACTGACCAGCTACAGTGAGCTACGTATTTACAAATCTTGTTTAAGTAATCGTCTATGTATTATCTGTAAATTTTTTTCTCATTTAATAGGAAACATTGAATTTCACCCGCTCACACTCGCTCCATTCCCTTTCATTCCCTCGGGTACACGCGCACACACTCAAACGTACACTCGAACTTTCCCTTCGTTTCTTTCTCCGCTATCTTCTCACACTCCTTTCATCCCCACGCTTCCTCTTGTAATTAATCAAATTGCAAATCGGACCGTTGCGAAACTTGGACGGAACCACGGTGTTCCTCTTTCACCACTTATCGCTTAGAAAGGGTCCTGGATAAATCCCTACCCTTTCTTCACTCACTTCTTTCCTTTCTTTCGTTTCTTTTTTCTTTTATCCTAACCAATCGCTTGAAAGCGTTCTCGCACTTTCCATCGGCGAGAACGAGCGTTCCACGAGACTGACAAGTAAAATTCGCGGAAGTGAAGCCTAGAGTTTTTCGTGAATCGTTCAAAAGGCTGTTAAAAGATAAAAGAGCGTTGGGTCCAGACGTAAAAGTCCGCGATAAAACAAGGTGAACCTTTTTTTTTGCATTGGCACGCATCAAACAAAAATAGTTAAAGAGCTCTCTGGGATTTATGACAAATATGGTCTATGGATTTATGACAAATATGTTTGATGTTTGACAAATATCGAGTATATTTCTTAGGCTACAGATTGAATCGTTATGAGACTTTTTAAATTCTTTCTTATAAATATGAAAATAGGAAAGTGGCTAACATTGAGAGACTAAAATCTCTAATACAATTTATCCAACTCATCGTTTCGTTTTATGAGTCCTTTTTCCAGAAGTCACTTCAATTGTGTTTCGAAAGTGGAGAGCTAGATTTATAATCGTTGAATAATTAAAATATCAGTCTCGAGGAAATCTCGCCCTTTGTAACCCACGATTTTTTCAATTACAATCGATCGGTAACACTAGTATGCTTTTCCAATCAAACAATTTAAAATACAATATTTCGTTTCTAAAGGGAAAGAATTCTAAATGTATTTGCGAATTTATTTATTCAATAACCTTCTGTTCTCTTTTCATTTTCTAATTTTAGATACACAACGTTTTTTCCATATCTTATTCGGAAAGCAATTTTCACGCTATCAACATCACTGTAGCAGAATACAAAGAGTAAGAATGAAAGAAAAGATCTAAGAGGAACATCACTGTCCGTCCAAATATTCGTGGTACGAGGGATTTGTTTAAATTTCCACTGTTTCTAATTAAGGCGACATCGTTTCGCTGCGTATAATCGTTTCACAGTTGAACAACAAAGAGGCGACTTTTTACGTTTCATAGACTCATCATCTTACGTAGCTACTGCATGTAGCTATTGTTGCTTGTCTGTGATTAGACACGACGAAAATTTCGCATTCCGCGGGCCACGTTTGCTGGTCTCTGATTGTGGTGATTTAGTTTATGAACTAGTAATATATATGTACACGGTGAACGCGATGACGTATTTACATATGACGAGAAGAAGCGCTTCAGCTAGCCGAAACGATCAGACCGGCATTATTTAAATTCTACAAAACCAGAAAACTTCCACGAAGAAAGGGTACGAGATCGCAACATTTTCAATATCGTCTCCGAACATTTAGTACACGCCTGGGCAAATCGCGACCGCGCGTTTAAACATTAACTTCATTATATATTTAACAGACTATGTTCGCTTTTATTTCCTGTACATCTATTGTTTGCAGAGAGTAGATAGTTTCGATTTGAATATTTTTTCCCTTGCAAAACCTCGATTAAACGTACACACTTCTATTGCTCCGAATCGTAAAAACGACGGTCTTGATCGATCGTTCGAAAAGAAATGCATGTCTTTTTTTCGTGTCTCAGGAGAAGCAGCTGTTTCTCGTTCTCGTTAAAATTCTCTCCCTAAAGCCGACCGTTTCCTTCTCTATATTAACTCCCTTTTCGCCAAGGGTTACTTAAACGATAATCGTTACGTGTTTTTTTGTATTTATTCGTGATCACGCGAATAAATGGTTTTATAGTAGAAATTAGTTGAGTCTGCGTAAAAAAGAGAACACATGCGTTGCTTTCTCGTCTTTGTCGCCCATAATAATAAAAAACGAGCTTCCAATTATTTTTTTTCTGCTACTAACGCTAAATCGCTACCTAAAAGTCCTTACGGTAATTCTCGTGAAAATCTACTGGCTACCTAAGTTTCCTTAAAGTAAAATCACACTCAGAACGTAATTATGTATACCGCGCGCTCGTCCGGCCTCAGAGTGCGTTTGAATTCATGGTATAATGGTAATTGTTAACTATTAATGGTACTACAAACACTTTCGACGTGATCTGAACAACGATTACTTTGTCCTGGCCAAGATGTAAAACTTTCTTGTTAGGACAATTACAATAATCGATCGTAACACATGAACAACGTGCTTATACGTAAGAAGAACGAAACTAAGTAATTCAAACGCAATCAGATTCGGAAAGTAGAACGGACATTCTAATTCTACACTCCGGAGGCCGTAAGCGACCATTCACGTCTAAAAAGAATGAAAAACCAAAGCGAGATCTCGCACGGAAGCGCTCTAACATAAAGTTCGTGGTAAATTAAACTAGAACGTCTATTTATCTATACACCAAAGACGACTCTCTGGACAACGTCGAACAAATCCTTCTTCTTCGATTCTTTTTAGGGATCGCTTCTTCCATTCAAACGCTGTGTTCTTCGCTTCTTAAGTTCTCCTTCAGTTCACGAATACCGTCGTGATCGCCACGATTCGTCGGCAGTGCATTTATTTATTGGAATAAAATTGCGTGCGATCCACCACACGCGAATCCAGCATCGTATCTTCTAGAAATGCACGCGATTTCTAATTACCTTCGGATCAAGGTGGCTTCTCTAATTACGAGAGAGGAGCGACGTCGTCCCATTTTTACAAACAACGACCTAACTATAGTAGAATATCTCTTAATGGAGAACGACGCCGTGAAACGATGAGAACCTCATTTCGAATTCTCATTTAAAAAACCTATCTTTCACTTTGATAGAGATCACCACGGATCAAAGGATCTCTGCTGTTCGTAACTCGCTAAATAAACTAAATGTTCGCAGCGACTGATACGGAAGCTAGAGCCCAGCTTTCGCGTGTCCACTGCACTTCAGCAAACGGAAGTTCGCTCTTCGTCGCGAATATCTCGGCCAACAGGTGTTGTATCTTCTTAAAAGAGTCCTCGGCTGTTTGTAGATCAGCGCGAGGATCTAATTCTAGATCGTAGTCCATGGACGCGATCGTTGTATCGATCGAACATCAGGATTCATCGAGATCATCGAATACAATACTCGTAGATCATGGTTCTCTTCGCTATCCATAATTTTCTTCCTTTTATTCGAGCATGTCAAATCGTCGATGTACTTAAACTATATGGTCCTCAACCCATAACGAACGATTTATATTAGAGTTCTTGAAACATTCCGCCCAAATAAAGGACTCCTAGCGTAACAGAGAACTATGTCTACTTCTTTGAAACTTCGAATGATTTCTCTAAGATCCAATCCCAATTTTGTTCAAGACACATCCCGTTTAGAGTCAAGATTCGCGTCGCAGTGCGTCATGCAAAGTTTTGAAAATCCTGACTCTGCCCATGATTCGCGACTCTGCTTCTTCCGTCTTCGCCTTACATGCAGCTTCTCGCTCGAGTTCTCCTTTCTCCGACGAAGTGGCTCGGTCGTGTGTGCGCCATCTCAAAAGGACACGCTAATTACAAACGCTTACGAACCGATTTTAATGCATCCTAAGGGTGGCGCTGAGCGTTTCGTTGAAAAATTCAGGAACGAAAGGGGCCATCGATCGATCCTATGGATCGTGTTTCATCCTCTTGCGAACACGTTTCTCATCCACGATTCCGCTTCAGCAGGTACAAGGTAAACTGGAGTACTCGCGGAGTACTCTGAAACGCTTCTTTTCGCTTCTCAAATTTACCGATGGAGAAACCGTGTAAAATATATATGTATATATATATATATGTATATGTATATATATATATACACATGTATATGTACGTGTGTATATATATATATACACACACATATATATATATATACACACATTACACATGATTATTCTTGGAATAATTGGACGAATACGTTCGACGAAGGAGCAATCGATCCTGGTCACCTTTCTCCCGTGTTAATCGATCGTTGGAAACGCGCCACAGCGGTCGTGTTTTACATGTGTACATGTACATTAATGATAGAAGCGTGTAAAATCTAAAAAGAAAAGAAAATAAAAGAAGACTGGCCCGTCTTTTCGACCCTTTCTTACAAACTACGTATACGCCCTCCTTTTCTTTCGTCTTTTCTTCTCTAGTTGACCAAACTCCGATCCCTCGAAACTGATTCACCTTCTTCTTTTCTCTTCTTCTTCCTCTTCTTCTTCTGTGTATCAATCCTTCGACTGTGCTCTTCGTATCGTGCGCCTTTGTATTTCGGTATATTTTCTTTTTTCCTAGGCTCCCTCTCGTATGTATACAGCGGTATGTATAATATATATTTATAGATATCTATATACATACACGTGTCTATGTATATACATATCAGCTAGTCGAAAATTGAGGCTTCAGCGCTCGGCAGTCTATTGTCTCTCTTGGCTCTTCTTCTTCTCCTTTCTTCCCATCTTCTTTCTCCGAATTCGCTTTTCTCTCTTTTCTTCGCCCTTTTTCCAGCCTGTTTCCTCTTCTTCGTTCCATCCTTGTCTCACTTTGCCCATCTCTTTTCCTCGTCCTTTCTCACTCTTCTTCTCCAGGCTGTCGAAAATTCTTCAACATCTGTCTTCCAGCGAAGCGAATGCTCGGCCGCGCGTTCGTCATCAGCTTTCGCGATTTCGGAGAAGATTTTTATTCCCACTGGTGAGGAGAGGGTGGCAATTCCGAGGGATGAGCCACCGTGGAGCTGCAAGTCGTACGAACAGATCATTAGTGCTTGCCATTTTAAAGAAAACAAGTCTTTTTTTATGTTTTTTTTTTTTTTTGTTCGTTCGTTCTATCTTTTTTATTTTGTACTTTTTCTTTTTATCGTTCATGTGCTTTTTTTCGATCGTTACTCGGGGGTGTGTATATTCTCTCAAGTGAGACTTGCGGGAGAAACAGAGGTGTATAGCTACTTTTTCAAATCTCCGGCTATCTGTGCCGTGTTCCGAACGAAACACACCGGACTAGGGACTTGGTAAAATGAGGAAAAAACAGCGTTTTCTTTATAAACATCGTTACAAACATCTTCTTCGTCCTCTTCGTGCATTTTAGAGCAGCTTTACTAAGCCCCACAGTCAAGGGTATCTTCGAGCCAAGATCAACGAGCCGTGTCCACGAATTCTTTTTATCTTCTGCAACTTTGACAACACAACACTAATTATAACATACAGTTTCACATCTTCGGATCGATCCCATTTTCCTGCGATTCATCTACGCGGTTGATAATGTAAAACCGACTGCGTGTATCGATGGCTCGACGATACCCTCACGCGCAGAGATTTGAACACTAAGATCGGTACACGACGAAAGTGCAAAGTGCTCCTCGCTATTAGAAAGGATTTTTCTTTTTACGTGGGCAATCGTCGAAAGCATTCGTACAAACGGCACTTCGAGTTTCGTCGGCTAAACAATCGGACAAAGGGATGACATATGGTGGTAAAAAGGGATGGGGGCAGCATATCGTCAACGAGTGGCAGCAGTGCGTCTCGAAAGTGTCGAAATACAATCGGTGAGAGGATGTAACAACGTAAAAACTCAACTAGAGTTACGGTAGATCGTATAGTGGTGTGATGAAAAAAAAAAAGGAAATGATACAAAATAAAAGTAGAAAAATGAAAAGAACAAAAAAAAGAGAAGACGGATATGGCAAACTAAAATACATTCCGCAACGATTGGCCCGAAGAAAGGGATTTTTATGAAAACAAAAGAATCGACTCTCGAAATCTTTGAGAATTCGTGGTTCTTCTAGAAAATGAATTAACTACGGGATTCGTAGACTATATTTTCATTTTTCTACCGTGTGTCTCAAGCGTGTATCATACTGCTTTACTTCTACGAATTACGTATGCGTTAATTAATGTCGTTTTTATGTACTGTATTACTCGATGAATGAACGGAACAAGTGCGAACACGGTCGAATAAATTCGCTATGGCAGCTACGGGTCCAAAACTACCAACGGACCGCGTCGTTCATCGACTTCTCGATACTCTCGACCGAGGAAACGCTCTGCGTTCTCGTGACGATCGATTCGAAGAGTCGCGTGGACATTTCGTATCGGATAAATCGTTCTTTGTCACGCTCTTTTTCTCATCTTCTGTCATCGGAACTGTATCGTAACGCGCGAGCGGCGTTTGAATTTGTCACTGTGTAAACTTTGATTGTTACTTTCGGAACCGTTTCAGTCCGTGAACAAGATATCCAAATAGCTCGCGAGACTCGACTCTTCAAATTTTACGTTGCCGGGAAGACAACGGATAAAAGGGAGATGCAACCGACAGGTCTGGAGATGAACAACAGAATAAAAACGCTTCATCTGATTTCCATGCAGCTGTCAGCATGTGTGACAGCCGGCCGTTAATCACGATTCTATATCGTTATTCTTTTTCTTCTTCGATACTTCACACGAGACTCTCACAAGCCAAATTAATCAACTTCGCTGTTTGTAAATTTCTCTGTTTCGTTACAACAAATACTCGATTAATGCTTCATTCTTGAAAGTCAATATTCACTTCTATAAGTTCATTTATCAAGAAGAACGTTTAACCGTAGAATTATACGCATTTATGAAATATTTTAATACGCAAGAATATACAGAGTGTACGTAATATGCAAAACCATATAATATTTTTAAAGTTACTGTACCTCTAGGTATAACATTTAGACGGTAAAAAACAAAATTTCATAGTAGTATAAATCTACGTAAAGATCCACAATCCGAAGATAGTGTAAATAATACAAAATTAAAAGAGAAAAGTGGTAACAAAGATTTTGCAACGTCGTTGTCTTTCTCTGTTTTTCAACGTATGCGGTTGATCAATGTGGCTTCTAAATGGCTCATACATTCTCACTAAGATTCTCGAAGATATCTCTTTTCTTTTCTATTATTTCCACGTCTCTCTTTTTAGCTCTCTTTACCCATTTGTCTCGTCCGTTCCTTGCAACGTCTCCCCTTCACGTAGTCGCCGTTTTTTTAGCCACCCTTTAAGCCCGCTCGCAACTTTCTCGCCCGATTCCTCCCACTCGATACGCGCGCCTCTAATTTCTGTCTCTGTCACCGGCCTTTCGCTTTGCTTTGCCAAGCTCGCGGGAAAAGTCAATCGTGAAAATAGCACGGAAACAAAAGCGGTCAAAAAAGGAATACGCTACTACTTTTTTTTTCGTTTCTTTGTTTCTCGAATTCACCCTCGGCCACAACTTTTTCGTCTGGTCTCGAAATCGCTGAATCTTCGACCTCCACCACTGTGTCGAAATTTATTTCTGGGCTTTGAAAAAATGATCCCGTCGCGAGTAGTCGCTTTCTCCGCGGCCGACAGGATAAAAGCGACGCCGCGCGTGTCAGACCGCAGCTCGTTTGCACGCGAACGTTTTTCGCGTTATTCCCCTCGCCCCCCCCCTGCCTCAAATTTCGTGGAAAACGTGGCTCCATTAGTTTTCAAGTATACACGCGATGAAAGAAGGCAATGCTGAGGAACTTCGCTGCTTTTCTTGTTCACTTTTTTTGTTTGTAGAATTTTATTTTATTTATTATCATTGTTTTTAATAATACTATAATATTCTTGGATCCGTTTTCCTCTATACAAATTGTCGTAATGTTGTGAATTCTAAAAAAAATAAATCTAAGATTCGTTATTAGACTGCGACTATTAGATATCTCAATATTTTAGACAATTTTGTATATCACGTATATTGTATTTTAGGTATTTCTGCAGCTTCAAGTTTCACATAAATGTAAAAGCCCGCAGTCTACTAGTTACTGACATCTCTTCTCTTCGCTATCCAATATTTAGTTGGCCCAATTGTTAAGACTATTAAAAGCTGGTGAATTGAAATTTTGCTTGCAGCTTAAATATTTCGAAAAATATTGCGAAGGATTAAGATTATAATAATGGGACGTGATAAAATTTAAACGACGAATTTGCACGGAAAGTAAATTATCAACAGAGGACGCTTAGAGATTGGTCGAGCAAACTTTCGAAAAAATGGATGATTTAGCAAAGTTTCCTTGGTTAACTGGAACCGCGGTACACGTAGCTCTCTTGGCAAAGCAAATCCGAGGGTCGACAAAATTTCCGCCGAAATCCATGTCGCGTCCCGGACTTGGCGAAATGACAGTAATGGCTTCGCGGGTCTCCTGCTTCTTAGTTTAGTATCACGTGCACGCGTGCAGTTTTCGCGGCCTCCGCGATACACAAAAATTCTGTATTCAACCTCGCAACATTTCTACCATTGTACCGCACAATCTGCGTAAAATAGAATGGAGATCAAGACAAAAAAAAAAAAGAATCATACACACAACGTACAAAAAACAGAAACGATGGACAAAACCAGTGCAAAAAAAATGTCTACATTGTGGGAAAAGAAAAAATCACGGAAGATATTGATATTTTAAAAAATCATTTTTCTTCCCCTTTTTTTAATACCCGAATGTTTTGCAAAAAAAAAAAAAAGAAAAAGCACGTAGTTTTGTTGAAAAATATTCAAATCGACTCGAAGATTACGGTCATTGTGCCAACAGCCAGATCACGCCAGGACTTCCAGTCGAAAATTGGTAATTTAAAAGAATTATGGATTTCAAGGATACCAACGAGGATCATTCTTAGATGAATCAGGAAAATTTGTCTACTCTGCTACTATTTCGATACTATCGAGCAATGTATTGAAGTATTCTCAAGGAAAATATTACGCTACTTTGTGGAATTACTTTTCTAGGATAAAATTGATATTTAGGAAGTTGATTTAGAGGAGAGGATGATGGCAGATGATCTCGATCTACCCAGGTGCATCACGAAAGAGAGTTTCGTTTCCCGTGTCGTTTCTCTTCGTCCCGTTCATCCGATTCTCAATGAATCGCGACACGATCCGTTCAATCGCCTTATTTATTTATTTTTCGAATTCTTTTCTCTCCTCGGGCCCGTTTCTTTCAACTGAAGGCTGCATGGTTGATCAGGCCTTTTTACACTCCTCGTGTCCAACAAAGCGCTCTTTTCAGCCGTTCTCTCTCAGCGTTATTTACAAGTACCACTTTCACAGCGACTCACGATCAAAAACGTAAAAACGCACCAGCGACCAGCCACTTAAATATAATTAAATATAAACATGGACGCGTGACACGTTCCTCTGCGATCGATAGACATTTTAAACAATCACGTGCTTACATAGTTTCTCGACTATTCATATTGTATATGATAATAACATAATGTAAATATAATATTATTGTAGAATTACATAGGACAATTCTCATAACGAGTCGTTGACATACATTCGTCTTTTTTTTATTTATCTTATTAATTTTATATGATGATATATAATATAATACAACGTAATAATACTAAGGTACGTGTTCCTCGAAGATCGTCGAGCTAAATTCAGAAGCAAAACGTTTAATCTTATCTGTTAGTATCTGAACGATTACATGGAATGAAATACCATCGTTCGAGATTTTCTACGCGTATCGTTTCGACCCGATTTAAAGCTTTCGTTAATTGCTCGTACGCCAAACTGTCGTTAATTAGCAGAGCTCGTCGCGTTCCTACGACGGAACATCGACGAAAGGCGGTTGAATTCCTCCTCGGGGAGGCATCCGCGCCTCTTTATCTTTATCGCGGTATTTAGAAGTGGAGGCGTCGAGTGTCGCCCTGCTATGTATAACTGGTTACTCTAAGAGGCCATTTAAACGTCTGAAAAAAACGTTGTACGCACGCACCAGGGAACGTGAAGAATTCCCTCTCGAAGAAAGGAGAAGACATCGCTTTTTGCACTTCGTTTCCCATTACTTTCCTCGAATTTTCTTAATAAGCAATTTCGCGCTGTCAATCCTTTCACAAATATAACGTTAGAGTCGTTGAAAGATGAAAGATACTTGGAAAACAGATTTATTCATACGCTTCGCCAAAAATTCATATCGAAGATTGTGTAAAATTTCGATAGGAAATTAACAATTTGTTAATTTGTCGATTTATATTAACTTTCCGAACTTTGAGTACTAACGTTCGATCCCTGAGCTTTGGCTATTAATCTTAAATTTCCGTGAGAAAGGAAATTTCGATAGAAAACTTATTAAATAGACGATTATTATATTTTACTAAAATCAATTTATTTCTTTCCTACAGCATCGCTTTCAAGTAGCATGCAAATGTTCCCACCGGTCATATCGGCAATATTTTATTAAATTAATGTTCAATAAAGGCTGCACTCTCTATAAACGTGAATATATTTTCACATTACTCACGCGCGTGACTCTAATTACAGTGAAAAATAATTTCCACCGCCTATGAAAGGTTAATTCCATTTCTTTGAAAGCAAACGTTAACGTGGTTTAAACGCGTTGGAAATTGGGAGCGAGTCGATCGATCGATCGATCGACCGATCGATAAAATTAGCAAATCTTCGAGGAACAGGCCAATAGGGAAGAGAGCAAACTGAATTATAGGAGATTTACGATTCCAAGTAGCCAGCGAAGGCTTCTCGAATCATGTCAGGCGCGGATCGGAAGTCGGTCGAGCGGAGCTGGTCGCTGGCGTGCATCCGGCAACGTGTGTCTCACGAGGATCCACCATACATATATATATATATATATATATATACACACTCATATATATATATATACATATCCATAATACACCTACGTATTAACCTGCTATTCGACTACATTCCTTAAACTCACTTCATCAACATATACATATATATGTATATATACATATATATATATTTGCATATTATTATATACACAGTATCAATCATACAGAAGTCTCTATGTAATTAAAAGAAGAAAGAAAAGAGAAAAGAAAGTATACGTAAGAAGCAAGGCGAGAGTTAAACAGTACGACGAATATAATATTATACTATATAACGATACGTTGATCAAGGAGGATGGAACGAAAAACTGACGAAGAAAAACGAGTGAGAAGAAATATACAATAGAAGAAATAAGAAAAAGGAGGTCGAAATGGTTGTAATTGGGAAACAAAAGACGAATAGATATATGATAATAAGTAAGAAACAGAAAATGCAAAAAAGATATGCTTGGTAAAATGGTTTGTTCAAGTACCTCAGCGAGCGAGGTCACGCCGCCTAGAGCTGACTCTCTGTTCGTTCGGTTCGTTCAGGAGGAGACGTAACACGATTGGTAGTAGTAGTGGTAGTAGTAGTGGTAGTAGCGGTAGTAGTAGTAGTGGTAGACGATAGCGGTAGTAGTCGATAGTAGCTGACAGTGGTAGATAGCTGATTCGGTACTGGTAGTGGTAGTAACGTGTACGTATACGCGGCGTAGGGCGCTGGGTCGGCGATCGGCTTGCTCTAACTTGACGGCAGTAAGCAACACGAGAAATAATGTTACACACTTCAAGATCACATATGAAAAGAAAGAATGAATTTTTTTTCTAACTTTTTTCTTTTTTTTTTTTTTTATTCGTTCATTTTTACTTTCTTAAGGGACTAGGGTATTAATTGCATCTATCGTAACTTCTAAGCACGTTACAAGTCTTTCTTTTCGACCCTCTTTTACATTTGACTTTGACGACTCTTTCTTTTTTCTCATGGTAGCCTCTTTTATCTTAAAATTTCGTTCTTACTTTCTATTTCTCTGTGTCTTTTGTAGAATTGCGGTGAGAGCAGGGGTGGTGGGTTCAACTCCTTTTTTCGTATTTTCTTCTTCCGCTCGACATTTCTTTCTTTCTCTGCGTATCGGGACAGATGGCGCCGATAATGTGTTCGATCGTTTTACTGATACTTTCACGGCATAGAACGTATACATGGCTACATCTGCGTATATATATATACACACATACATATGTACATATATATGTGTGTATACATATATACACAGCAAAAAGGAACAATTACGACAGAAAGACAACGCGACAAAACGCGGGGGTTAATTTCTTAATCGTTTCCCAGTACTAACGAAAGCAGTGGAAGAACTGGCCAGAGTTTTTGGTTGGTTACCGAGGGCCAAAACGGCAAAAGGACGTCGACGAGGAAGGGTCGTCGAGGGACAAAAGATCGTTCTCTCCTGGCTCGTTTCGATCGTTTCGCCTCGACCCTCTCTCTCTCTCTCCACCCCTTTACCATCCCTTTACCACCCCATCAGCTCTCTTTTTCCGCTCTTTCTTCTCTCTTTCTCATTCTTCACGGTTTTTAATTTCCGTCTACGATACGCCCTTGTGCCCGCTCCGCTGCCTTTTTTCTCTTCTTCTTTCATTCTTTCCCTCTTTCTCTTTTGTCCTCTTTTCCTTTCCACTTTCTTTTTTTTTTTTGCCTTTTATTTTAATCCGGCTTGTTCTTACCGCATCGACTTCGACGGGTG